ATTCTTCTTAATTTTTTAAGAGTTTGAGCCTGCTTGCCGATTTCTTTCTCTGCCTCCTCTTTTTCAAAAGTTATAGAATTCTTTTCCTTAATCAATTTTTGCTTCTCACCTTCCAGAAAATAAATGTCCATATTTTTCTCTCTAATCTCATTTTCATGCTTGACCCTTTGAGCACACGACAAACCTTCTAGCTCCTCTATTCTTTTCTTCAAATCCACAATGATAGCTTCTTTAATGATAGGAATGTCATAAGGGATAACTATGTCTTGAAGCCAAACTTTCCTCCATTCTTCAAACTCAGAAGTGACTGAAATCTTGTTCCTTGAGAAACGAACTTCACATTGTGACCATACTTCCTTAGCAAAGCCAATTTGATTAATTACTTGAGTATCAAGAGAATAATCAAACCCATATGAAGTGATACCATCTAGCAATGGTTTACTTTGCCTATCACGAAATTGCCTCATCACTAATGCTGAACTATAGCTAATAGCTCCTCGAACGCCCAATAACGGGATCTAGTTATGGCCACGTGGAGGATAAAAGTAATCAGTAGACTTCAACCATGTCACACACCAGACTATGTCTTTGGATCTCAAGTTCAAGAATTGTTGATGCCATTGGTCAGCCATTTTCTTTTCCAATTGATTCTTTTTTTGCAAAATCCCAAACTCCCTAATTGTGGAGACATTTACCTTTGATAAATGTGCATGTATCCATATTGTAAACAAACCAGCAGAACATGTGAATCTACCCTTGCCATGAGCTCGAATATAGTCAGCATCACGTAGAGTTTCAGCAATTAAAACCGGAGCAACATTAAGATTTGGATTCTTGATCAACTGCTTGAACATGGCTACAACTGATGAACTAATACTATCCATATTAGTGGGCAAAATAACCATTCCATATATCCCCAAGGCAACAAAATTTAACCGGTCCTCCTCAGAAAGTGAACTTAGATCAAACTTTAATTTGGAATACATCATATTCCAATTAACTCCCCAAACTTCATTTTTCTTCATAATGCAACCTTCTGTGAACTCTAAAGGAAAGCTCAATATCCTTTGTAGTATGGACTGAAATTGCAACTTATTTAATTGAAAGTTAACAGGGTCTGGGACATAAACTTCTGAACTCATTTCTGGGCGACTGAACAATAACTGAAAATATTCTTCAATGGTAGGTACCAACTCAAACTCAGGAAAAACAAAGCCACGAAGATGCGGAACATAAAATCTTAGGCTTGCCCTAATGATTTCCCAGTCCGGCTCTACTTGCAACAAATCAGCTATTTTGCCAAATTTCTTGTCAAACCTCACTTTGTCAAGATTACTTAGACTATTCCAAGCAGCAACCAAGTCTTTTACACAAGGTCTTTTGGTCTGCACAGAGAATCCACCCTTGTGTGACTTGTTCTTCTTGGATAAAGGTGGACATTCTAACTCTAAATTCACCCTTTTTCCCTTACTGTTCTTTTTCTCCAAAGAATCCATGTGTAAAATAATTAATTACCTATTAAAAAAAAAAGAAGAGTTAATGAATGTCATACCTCTTGGTCGAATTCCTCACTTAAGAAACACAAAATCATTGTTTAAAATAAAATACTCCCAACGTGTCCTATGTATAAGGTTCTTAGACTTTGAAGGTGATTTACTAGGCTGGCCGTCCTAGGGTTAA